GAAATCCTAGGCAGCTAGCCCATCAAATCTACCTTTAGACATTTTGGGGGAAATGTGGAAAATGCCACAGATGTCTCTCCATTTATCTCTTGCTTTATTTTCATTTCTCCTCCTCTATTTCTATTCTGTCAGTCTTTTCTTCTCTTCCCAACTCATGTTAGGCCCAAAGAAACCGCTTCAGTTTCTTTGTTCCAGTATCTTCCTGACTCATCATGTCACTTAGTATTTCCTGAACAATTTTAATTTTTTAACTTCCACTTTTATCTACATTTCTATCTAGTAGCTTCTGAAAGGAACTGATAGGTCAGTTCCATTTAAAGCAGAAAGGTCAGCTCAGAAAGTTCCCGCAACTATCTTTTGATATTCTAAATTGGCAATCTTGATAAATTTTCTCCGTGGACACAGGGCAATAACAGGGATTTATTATTAAGAAGTGAGGAAAAGTGAAACCTTTGTTGGTGAGTAAAAGGCCATGGAAGATGTTATGAGGAATTTTTTTCCCATCACAACAATTCACCTGCTTATTCTTTGAGGATAGAAAAGGATAATTTCTCTGAGAAATCGTATCCTATCCAACTACTACCCTAATTTTGCCCCTTCAGACTTCTTTTTGTTCCCCAACCTCAAAGAACATTTAAATGGAGTACAGTTTGTAACCCTTGAGGATGTCTAAACTGCCATTTTATGTGGTACAAATTAAAGAGCACAGAAATCTTTTGGGAAGGATTGTTGTTGTTAAATGCCATCAAGTCAGTTCTGACCCATAGCAACCCTGTACAGGGTTTCTGAGGAGCCGCTGGTGAACTTGAACCACCAACCTTGCAGTTCAAATGGCTTTGCAGTCTGGCACATTAACCCACAATGCCACAAAGATGAAAACACCTTTGGAAGTGTATACATCTAGATTTAAGAGTACCAAAGAACAATAGTTACATATTTAAAAAATTTTGATTAATAAATATTTCTGTGATTTTGTCTGACTTTTTGACTTATCCTTGTATTGCTTGTGAAGTAAGAGAACACACACAGAATTAGGAAATATAGTTACTTTTAGTTCGAGTGAGCATGTATTATTGTTTTAAAGTACCGTCAGGTTGATTATGGCTCAGAGGACTTCTGATGTGGTGATGTGGATCAGCACTAGATTGAGAACCCCAAGGTCAGCAGTTCAAATCCGCCAGCTGATCCTGGAAAACAGGGTCACTATGAGTGGAAACCAACTCTACGGCACTTAACAACAATTAATACCTAATTTTAAAATAACTTATTTCTTTATATTGGTTTTCTTCCTATGTTTTTGTTGTTGTTATGTGCTACGGAGTGAGTTCCAACTCAGAACAGCCCTGTCCTGGGTTTCCAAGGAGCAACTAGCAGATGTGAAGTGCTAAATTAAAGAAAAGTCCATCTTTAAGATGGAGTAATGAGGGAAAGAAGGACATACTCTAACACTTAAAATAAGACTAAGAGCTGGAGTTTTTTCAAATAGATAATGCCAGTGGAGAATTTCATACTTTTATTTTCTCCTGGACTCAGTAACCTGGTACATTTGTCATTTTGATCGAACTGTGCTGTCCTTTGTGATAATTTTCATTCGATGTCCTAAACCTTTAGTATAATCTACTTCAAATTTCCAGCCTTGGGCCAGGTTATTAGAATTGCAGGGCTAGGCTGCAAAGTGAAGGCAGTGGTATTCTTCATCATCATTCCTGTGAGATCAGAACAGTAAGAGCAATTAAAGGAGCCAGTGAACAAAGGAACTCAATCCAGAATGTTGAAATGTCTCTGGATAGGATGAGAGACAGGCACACACTTTCCCAAAGATGTTACAAGAAAACGACCTTTAAAAGAAGAAAGCTCATAAGAACCAAGTATTAAAAGTCAGAAATCCATTCATTCCTAAAATATCCGTATGTTCCTCTAAAATCAATTTCAATTCCATCCAGTAATCATTTATTTAGAAATTATGTGATAGACAGTTCTTTTGACTCAAGGCCTTAGGCACTGGAAATATGTAAATAACTAATACATAACCTGTGCCTTCAAAGGCTGAGATTGGAGACAAACATTTATCTAAATAGTTATAATATAGCAGGATTAGCATAAGGTCAAGAGCATTTTCAGTCACTTGTAACTGGATCAGTTGCTTATCTCAGAATGTCTTACAATTCCCCTTGGTGACTGGCTTAGTGCAGATTTATGTCATTAATGACTTTTGCCCACATGGGTTATTTCAGGCATCTTATTTAAAAATGGGCTTAACACATTTCTGGCTGTTGACTCTCCCCACCCTGTGCTCCATATATTCTACTCATTTGCCTTACAAAGTCTCCATCCTTTGGATTTCACACCTAGATTCTCCTCCTTAGTCTACACCTTTTCTCAATAATGCTACATTTGGATATTTTGAGGAAATTTACAAAGGAATACATTCAAAGGGACTCAGAGTGACCTACACAAGGCGCCTAGCTTAGGAAGGACAAGTCTGTAGTCAGCGGATATTTCAGACAAATGGTATCCCTTTTCCCTTTGTTCCACTGGATAGCAGTTTTATCACTCGGGAGCAGTCTACGTTCTCAATGACATTCTCCATTTTCTTTTATATTAGGCTCTCTTTTTAGTGTTTATGGTATGATTATATAGAGCCAGAATCCTTTTTAGTTGATCACAGTTGCTATATATGCCTCATCTACTGACATGGGCAAGGACACAAAGTCTGAAATCTGTTCTTAGTGGCAAAGAATTGGGCTGTTCTTCCCAGAGAGGTGTTCTCCAACATTTAATGGCTATTGTGTATCCAAATCTACATGATCAAAGAACATTTCTGCCCCCCTCCCCCCAGTCCCCGGCAAATAACTTCAAAAAGGGAATGAAGTTTCTACATGTAGACAAATTCTCTCCTTCAGTCACTGACCCCAAAGCTACGTATTAGGAAAGCAACATTATTGTTATACGCAAGGGGGATAGGGTCAAAGGAAATCAAGAATGAAATCACAATGTAAAGAATATTCACACATACATTTTTTGTTCCATGCAAAGCTATTCCCTTGACACCACAGACAGACACACACACATACATGCCTAAACACATCTTCCATAAAAGGAAACTTAGCAAATATATATGTTAAAAGAACTTGCCTCCTTAATTATGACATGACACCATCAGTTAACAAACTCTAGAACTACCTCTTTCACCTCCAGGATAAGTTTTTATTCCTTACACCATTATAATGTGTTTTTCTATTGCTAGTAGACAAGATCATTAACTGAAATAGTCCCTATACATTTTGAGAATGCTGACACCTTTTATTTATATTGGAGAAATCTTTGTACCTATTCTCATGATGCTATCACAAATAACTGCCATCTGCCTACATTTTTTTTTTTTTTTCAGAAATCAAAATGAGACTTGCTACTGTACTAATTAAAGCAATTGTTCTCAACCAGAGGAAATTTGGTCCCCTGGGGACCTCTGAAGCAGCAATGGTGGTGCAATGGGCCAAACATTGAACTGCTAAATGCAACGGTGGCATTTCAAACTCACCAGCCACTCCCTGTAAAGATTGTCTTGGAAACCCTAAGTAACAGTTCTACCCTGTTCTACAGGATCACTATGAACTGGATTGGCTCAATGGCAGTGGATTGGCAACATCTAATAACCTGGACACATGAATTTTCACTACTGGGTGTTACTGGCATCTAGCAGGTATGGGCCAGGGGTACTGACAATCACCCACAATACACAAGATAGCTTCATGCAACAAAGTATTATCCAAACCAAAATATCAATAGTGCCAATGTTACAAAACTCTGTATTAGAGAACAAGTCAAATGTTGTAACAAAAAGAACCCAAAAATATAGTGACTTAAACAAAACAGAAATGTAAATCACTCTCTCTCAAACTGTCCAAATAACAAGGTTTCTTCTCTCTTGCTGTTTTACATTCTTGTATGGTACTGACCTTGTCAAATGGTTGAATCTGGCAAGTCAGTCTTACCTTAACATTCTGACTTATGGGAGAAAAGTTAGAGGACAATTTTCTATTTAAAAGAATTAACCAGGAAGTTGCACAAATCATTCCCTCTCACCTACCATTGACTTGAGATTAGTCACATGCCCAACCTAACTGAACAAGACTGGGAAATATAATTTCTTGCTTGGTAACCACGTGCCCAGGTAAAACTCACAGGGTAATGTTATTAAATTAAAAAGAAAAAAGAAAGGAAAACTATTAAAGAAAGAGGTAGATATTTAGTAATTGGAAATATCCAGGTTTGTTCTAATTTTCAGTTTAGCATGGCCTCAAAATATTGTCTCTTGGGTTTATCCCAACAACCACTGTTCATAAGTTAATCGTGTCTACTTCCACATGGGACCCAAGCACTCCAGATATCACTCCCATCCTCCTTCACTTAGGAGAGTCACAAACTGCAGCCAACAGAAAATGTTTAGTATCTCCCCAGAGGCAGCTAAAAGTTCAGACAAGTTTATTCCTACCCTGAGATATCATGTCTCTTGTTTTGTCTTAATGGCTTAAGAGAGTAGCAAGAACGACTATGTGGTCAGAGGACTGAAACAGAACTCATCTCCTGATATCTTTTAAATTAATTTGCCTTTAGGCCACAGAATTCTCAGGTTTCCGTAATGACTGGCATTGGAATGTGGTTCTTAAAGGAATAGAATCTGGGGAAAAAAATATCTCCAGACAAAAGCACATCCATTAATACCTGTATATTACCACTATAATGATCATAATATAATAGTAGTATAGTTTATTTAACATCTATCAACTAAGTTAATATATTAACATCAAATTGTTATAATTCTAACGCTAAATTTCCAGGTAGTTTATGTTGTTAATGGCTAAATCATTTATGGAATTTCTAGAACAGATGGTATTTATCAGAAATACCATACGCTTTAATGGCAAGATTAGAAAAAATATTGACTTGAAAGATGATCTTTCTCAGATCCCAGCAAGCACCAAAGAAAGCTAACTCACCGTTCTTCTTGTAGAACATAATTTCTCCTTTGAATTCTGTTTTTTCCTCCAATGACTTTTCTATTTGAAGCATCAGTTGCTCATTGGTTTCAATTCCAAATAAGAACTTGCAGCTGCAACTCTTCTGCATGACTTCAGTTCGGGCAAATCCAGCCAACTCACAGAAGCCATCCGAACAGTAGACTATGGGGAAACCCTTAGCCACCTGGGCATTAGCGAGGATGAAGTTACTGTCTGTAGAAAAACAGGAGAAGAGATTCAGCAACTAAATAGGAATAAAAAGTCTTTTTTAATTTTAATTTCGTCAACAAGTTACAAACACATATATTTAGGCACCAGTCTCTAAAATGCATATCCTGGTGTGCTGTGTTAGAAAGGAGATATTCCAAAACGTAAAATATGGTTGATTAGCAGAATATAAGAGTCTTGCCATTTTGTAACACACTGTGGGGGACTATAGTATTCACTGGCCTGACTCTGAAGTGTTTATGAATATGGATTCAAGTTCTTATCTACCAATTAATATAAAGGTGAACTTGAGCAATTTATTCAATCATTCTAATAAATCAGTTTCTTTAGTTTGGCTTATCTCAAAATGAAATAGTGAGACAGACACAGAAAGACAGTGTAAAAGGCAACTCCTCGGAGAGGAGAAACACCTGGAATATTTATTTATTCATCTATGTCTATATTTAATTGCTTAAGGGTCAATCCCGGCACTTCTGCTGAAAGGCATTGAACATCATTAGTTGACCTGGCAACTGTGCTGAAGGGCACTGAAGTATAAGAAAATGGTCTGTATATGATCTCAAATCTAAGCCAAGATCTTATTAGCAGAGTACCAACAGATATCTTACAAGGTTAATAATGTTACTTTATAAGTGTGTTGTGTTGTTGTTGTTAAGTGCCATCGAGTTGATTCTAAACCATAGTAACCCTGTACAGGGTTTCCAAGGAGCAGCTGGTGGCGATGAACCACTGACTTTTTTTTTTTTTTTAATTGTGAATTATATGATAGACTATGGGTCGGAACCGACTCGAAGGCACTTACCACCACCACCACATAGGAGAACACCAGCTCCACATTCATCCTATCCTATTTTGCTTTACTGCAATGATTACAATTCCCTGCATGCATCATCAAACAACCAAAGGGTACACCCCACAAGCCTGCCCCCTGGCTGTCAATACACAGACCCTCTCCCTCCCAGAGTTCAGAGTCCCCAACTGCTCCATCTCTCCACGTCATCATCTCTGCCTCCATCTCTGGAGTTGCTGCTTCTCTGGACAGGGTCCCACACCCCACTCCTCTCCCTTCATGGTCCCAGAAACCTCCGCTCCTGAACCGCAAAATCAACCACTCTCTCCTTCTGTTACACAACGTCTACCTTTACATTTCCAACACTTACAGTCAGACTTTTAGCAATCATTCATTATTGAACCACAGGATTCTTATCCCCATCTCCTTTCATCAGCCCCATCCAGACATGTTGGACACCACTCAGTGGAGATTCTAACTTCCCCCACACCCTATGGAACTAGGTTCCTTCTTGAAAGCTTGAAAGCCAGTCACTTCTTGCCTTTGTAGCACCCCCATTTTGGGTAGTCAATGTCCAAGTTGCCCATCCTTGTCATCCTGTGTAGAGTGACAATGTGAATAACACTCAATAATGATTTTTTTGATAATTATTCGTGCCAGATGTTTTGCTAAGCATTGCATATATATTATCTATTTAATCTCTACATTTATATGGTATGGTGCTGATGGTTAATGAGCCAGGTTGCAAACCCGTATGAACTGCAAGGTTGGCAGTTCAAGCTCACCAGCTGCTCCTCAGAAACCCTGTACAGTGTTGGTATGGGTTGGAAATGACTCGATGACACTTAACTGTTGAGGTCCTATGTCGGGGTCACTGTTATTGTTTTAGCAAATAAAAATCAGAGGAGAATTGAAAATAATACAGTTTTTGTGTGTGTGTTTAGAAATAATGACTGAAGAAAAATGTTTAGAAATACTTCGTGGAGGAAACCGATTACTAACATTCATGAAAGGTTTTGTGAAGAAGAATGTTCAGAAATGAACTTTGAGTGATAGATATGATATATTTGAAGAATAGATACAACGTTTATTGGCAAAAACGATGCATCCTGAAAATGGGATGAAGTAAGACATTTATAAAACCTACTGGCAGGTGATTTTAGGTTCAGAATGAATTTGAGATTTTTATTAACTCACTCATGCATTCACTCATGAAACAAATATCAGACACTGTCAGTATACCAGACAGGGTTACGGTTAGGATTTTGAAGATAATAAAAAAAAAAAAATTAAATATAGGAAAATTTATTGTTAAAATTGTACATAAAAAATTTAAAAAATTATATAAAATATGTGTCTGAAATGTACATAAATACATATAAGCAGATATTTGTATAACTCGAATATGAAATGTTTCTATATACCTAAACTAAATGGAATAACTGGTAACTGTGGTTATTTGTAGAGAGAATAACTATGGACAGAAGTGGACACTTTTAACATATATCCTATCATAACCTTTGTTTTTGTGTTGTTGTTAACTGCCATCGAGTTGGTTCTGACCGAGAGCGAGCCTGTATAGGGTTTCCAAAGAGCAGCTGCTGAGCTTGAACTACCAACCTTGCAATTCAAACTGACTTTGCAGTCCAGCACATTAACCTACAGTACCACACCAGCATTAGGCATTCCCTATTTAAAGAACAGTAGGTTTAACAGATCTGCAGCAGAAAGTCAACCTATAAGGTATGAGAAAGAAGGGATTCCAGACACTCCCCAGTGCCCATTCAGGACAAGTGCTGAAGATCTATCCCATGGGCTTCCACATCTCATTTCACACTTCTATTACCTTGTTTCCAAACATATTCAACCATCAACTGGCAGAACCAAATCCACTTTACACAGTCTTGCTTCAATCAACTTCTAACTTCAAAGTACCAATTTAAGTGCTTGCATCTGCATCCTATGTGAATGGGATGATTCTTGCACCCTTCCAGTTGGCCTCTTCCTGTGGAAGGACATCAGAGCTAAAGAGTAACACTGGGAAGTTTTCAAAGAAATATTGTCTTGAAGTCATGGGCGTAAGTGAGATCACTACAGATGAATCTTTAATTCTTTCACATACACTTTGCAACTATTAACTGTATATTGTGTGTTGGACTGTCCTAGGTGAGAATGAGGAGATTAGAAGTGTTAATTAGGTGTCCTTTCTGCACTTAGAAATCACACATTCATGATGAACTTGTGTGAGTTCCCAGTGAGATTTATAGAAGGGCTGTCCTCGACTTGGCAGTGGGACCATGGTCTTGTCCTCACTAACTCTGCACAGCTTTGGGTCATTAACCATAGGGTATATGTCTCCTCCCTCTATTTTAATATTTTGGCTGAGAAAATGCTTAGAAACTGTAAATGCATTGTACTGACAACGTACTCAAACACCATGTCAGAGTTTTTAATGTGCTTTCAGAAGTCATTTTCATTCAACTGTGGCACGTTTATGACTTTCTGCTATACGTCAGGTGACATGGTCCCATTGCATGGTAGGTTCTACCATGAAGTTATGGAGTATTTAAAGAAATTATCTAGTTCTAAGAGATTACCATTTAGTTAAATAATGGCATGAATACCAATAATATCAAAACACAGCATCTGGTAAGAACCAAATAACTGGGACACAATTATCAACCAGAGTTGAGAAAGTAAAGATTCTAGGCTTTAAACATAGTTAGAAAGCAATAAGATAAAAATAGATGTAGGTGACTACCAAAAGTCCTAGACAATTAGGAGATGTCTGGCTAGAGTAGGTTCAGAGGATGAATGGGGTGGAAAGAATTAGAGACAGAAAGAATATACCTCATAACATTTTGTCCTGAAATCCATTTTGTCCTTTATTTACTAAGCCTCATTAGTTTTCTTTTATTAGCATTTGTCTGGACCTTTCCCCATCTTTCTACTTTCAGTCTTTCTAGAAACTTGTCCTTATTTCCTCCAAAGAAACCTATATATTTCTTATTTTTGTAATTGTTATTGTTGGTAAGTGCTGTTGAGTTGGTGCTGACCCGCAGCGACCCTATATAAGGTTTCCAAGGAGTAGTTGGTGGGTTTGAATCATCAACTTTGTGGTTAGCAGTCCAGTGCTTATGCTACAGCACCACATCAGAATTTGTGATAGACGTTCCAATTAATATCGATTTTGTCACCTATGCATATAGCCTCATGCAACATCTTGCCTAGTTTTTTTTCTTTCTGACTTTAAAGTTATACATTATATTATTTCATCCTGCATAGTCCTTAGTGACTTGCTTCCTTCATTAATTTCCTGAGTATTTTTATAAACTTAGATTGGTGCAAGAAAATACAGTCCTGAGGGTAGTACACTGCTGCAAAGAGCTGCTGAAGGATTCACCACATTGTCTGATCTGTGTTTCAATTAAGGATTATAATGTGTTGTGGTAGTTAATTCTGTCTTCAAACATACTACACAAACAAGGCAAAATAGAAAATAAAAAGCATGTATTTGGTCTTTTCAGTTTATATTTAGCACTTATCCTCAATATGTAATTGCATTTCAATTCCAAAGAGAATTTAGTGGCTGTCAGCACCCCATAAAGCTTAGTGTCCTGGCTACATGATTAGTACTTCTGTTTGGGAAAGAGTAGTTCTTCTTTCCCAGCTATCTACTTGAAAACATATGCTGTTCTAAATACCAGTGCTGGAATCCCCAGAGAAAAAATATGACATTTACTTTAGAATTATGTAAAACAAAGTCACTGCCACAAAGATTATAAACCTATCATGGGTATATCACTATCCATACATGTGCTAAAAGTATTTAACCTTTTAAAGAATCAATTATGCATATGCAATATTCAGTTAAATGCCATGAAACCTTTCCTTGCTTAGTTCTAAGTCATCCTTTTATATGCATTCAGTCAGTGCTACTAACCAATAGGATCTAACCATATTGCATTTGATTATATCTTTAACTGCTTCCTTAACAAAATGTTGTCACTGATCACCAGAAGGAATTTCACAGATAGTAGAGACCAATGTCATCTTGTCCAAACTCCTAATATGAGTATAGATAAACACTTTTACATTCAAATGGAGGTATTCTAGACATCTTTGACTTCTAGAGCACAAAGAGGGTGGGGATAGGAACAGAAAGCTATAGAATTAAAAAAAAAAAAAAAAAAAA